TCAACCTTTATATATATATATATATATATATATATATATACATGTACAATTATGCCTGTTTTTGCGCAAAAGCTATTAGCATACGATACATATCTAATGCTATTTTCTGTTTATTTTTTTGTTTATAGATAATCTGTGTTTCTGCAAATTTACGAGAGAATTCTTTTTTGAATTCTTCTTTGCGATCACCTGGCATGTAATCAATGAAGTCGAGGAATGATATAATAGAAGCTGAAAATAACAACGATTAATTAATTCAATGTCATAAATTAATTTAATGTTAGAATTAAATTTAATTAATTAAATAAATGAATTAATAAAAGTTTAAGATGTACAGTAGATACAATTAATAATTATACAGTTAATTATAAAAAAATTTATTTTTAAGAAATTTCATTAAAAAAATTTACAAAAAAATCTATCCGTATTTGCATCTTGATGAAATGTATCCCTATGGCTGCAATGAATAACCGTGAATCCGAGTGTTTGAAGCAATTCTTTTAATTGTTTGCGGGGATTGATTGACTTTCCAAGTGGCCAAGTATACTTGTTTACATCCTGTATAAAGAATATTTCATAAATAATGGTAAACAATAGAAAATAATTAATAATACGTCATGTCTTTGTTCATTGCTAATGCCAACGTTAAACCTTGTTGTTTACTTCATCATGATACAGTATTGATACGTTTCTCGCCCCAATGAAGTGAATAGCAAGATTCACGAAACATTGACAATGAATAAAGACACGACAATAATCTGGAAATTTTTCTGATATTTTTGAAGAAAATACCCGTCAAAGTCTCAAAAAATTAATAATATGTTTTTAAACGTAATAAAATAATAATCTAAGTACTAAATAACAATATTTACTTTTATGTGTGGTGCAAAACGGCCATCATATATCAAGTTTTCAAGAACATTAAATATATTATGGGAGGTTACAAAGAGTATAAGCATAACTCCATTGGGTCGAAGCATACGGTAGATGTTTTCAAACGCTTGTCTATTCAATAAACAAGAAAAAAAAATAAAATGAATTTTTGAAAAATGTTCATTTATATTTAATAGCTTAAGTAGATTATTGTAGGTTTAACATTAATTATTTTGCTGTCGTGGATATTATGTATTAAATTTTTTGATAAATAAAAATTTTATTAGATACTTATCAGCATCATCAACAATATGAAACTGATTATTAATATTATTTCAATAATGTAGACATTATTTCCACAACTGATTATTAATATTATTTCAATAATGTAGACATTATTTCATAACATTATTTATATTATATTTTTGATATAAGATTAGTAAGATCGTAAGATCAAATAGCAACCGACCATAATTTGGAACAAATGTGTGTGTGTGTGTGTGTTTTGTGTGGTGTGTGTGTGTGTGTGTGTGTTTTATATAAAACTTATAAATCAAAATTAAACAATCCACCTAAAAACGTTTTTAGGTGGATTGTTTAATTTTGATTTGTAAAAATAATACTGCAAATACAAACATACGTTATGAAATACTGATTAAAATACGATATATAATAGAATAAATTTATCGTACACATTTAATGAATATTTCGTAACGTATGTTTGTATTTGCAGTATTATTTTTTCAATTAAATGTAAATACATATAATAATGTGTATTTACATTTAATTGTATAAATAGTTAATATGTAAATTACATTAATATGTAAATACATACAATAATGTGTATTTAATGAAACTACGTAGTCTGCGAAATAATTCTGTGTCTTGATATATAGTCAAATGTTAATTAACATCAAATCTTTATTAGAGCAAAGAACACTTGATAATGAATCATGAAAATTTAGCGTTTAATGCTAAAAAAATATATTAAAACAAGTAAATAACATGCCAAACCGTGTAGTTTCTTTGAAAAAAAAAACTCCCGAAGTCGCAAATGTATGGTTTTGTCTAATATATATTTGTATTTACAAATTATACACAGTTACTAATGTAATTCCTATTTGAACAAATATAAAAATATTAATTTTTAAATATATCGTTATTTTATTTTATAATATAAAATTAAGAAAAATTATAAAATATACATTTATTATATATAATTTAAAGAAAATTATATATATTATTATCAATGTCAAGCATAAACGTTATTTTATAAAAATTTTTATAAAAGGAATTATCTTTATTAAAAAATCTTTCTTACGTGATATCATTGCACCAATGCAAAGTATGGGATGAAAATACAAGATCAAATTCAGATACGTATTTTGTAGGCAAATTTTTAGTTTGTATATCTAAAACGTCAAATTCGAGTCGTTTCTCCTTAATGTATTTTTTCTTTGCATAATCAATCATACTTTCTGATATATCTGTACCTATAGATAAAAAATTATTAAATGAACTTTACAATATATAATTTTTAAGTAATAATTATAAGTAATTTATGTTAATATGTTGCTATATATTATATTTTGTATAGATTATTGTTTTTTACCAATTACTACTGCATTTGGATCAAGAGCCGGTAAGATTATGTCTTTTGTTACATCTCCAGGTCCACATCCTATGTCAATGCATTTTCCAGATACATTTTTTAGATATTCATTAAATTCGTCAGTGATTGCAATTGCTTTTTCTCTTTGCGATGTGTTACTTGCAATATATTTTAATGAATTATAAGAATATTTGATTACGTCATTATTATTATTAATGGTCAGCATTTTATTAAGAACAAGAATATACTTCAAAAATACTGGAAATATCTGTAACACCAAATATATTAAAAATAAAATTAAATTCTTACAAATTTATACAATATTTGCATTATACATATGTACACTGTTGTTTTTTGATGTAAATTTTTATTAATGTAATTTGATGTGTAATTATACCAAAAAATATATCTATATATATGTATATTATAACTTTACATGATGTTTTAACTTTATATAAATACTGTACATGATGTTTTAGAAGAAGTGAGCGTTATTTCAGAACTAATTTAAGACCATGATGGAATTAGACAAAGTATTGTATTCTCGAAGACGCGCAATAAGTAAAATAATGGTGTCTACGCCCTAAATGCAACTGTAACATTTGATAATTCGATTTTATTTTTTCGAGTTTTTATATATTTGACATATCACATTAAAACATATATATTTGATATATTTTACATATTTGACATATTTGACATCTTAAAAAAATGAAAGTCATGTTAACATTTAGGGACGATTTTTGATTGATCCTCCATATTATGCGCAATAAAATCTTGTTTAATTCCACCAAGATTTAAAACTAGTAAGATTACAAAAATAACAAAAAGTTTATATGAACATTTTTATCATCCAATTTTTAGCCAAGTTACAAAAAATGACTGTAATGTTTTCGTGTTTTATTAATTTTATTTTTTCAATTTACAAAATAAGCTAGTACAACACATTTCTGTTTTGTGAGTAGTAAGCAACTTAAAACAATCTAAATATCTGAATAGAATTAGTTAGATTTATACAGTTTTTAATAAATATTAATGAAACACGAAACAACTCTAAAGCAAGATTAATGATATCAATGCCCCCTCTCCCTGATGACATAAACGGCTAAGGTTTACAAAAAAACATTGATATTCTATAGAACGCATTAGCAAAAGTATAAAAAAAC